GCAAAACTATCCGAAAACGTCCGGCGGAGGTTCCGTTAAACTGTCTGAGTATGAGTCAGAAAGAAAAAACATCTCTAAAAAAGAGAAGATGCTGCATCGGATGACACCTTAGCTATCTGCCGTCTGTCTACGATTTTTGGGATAAACAAACATCAAATTTGCTGTTTGGTTTGAGGATAGGCCTAAAAAGGCACGAACTTTCGAACTCACCCAATAGTCATTGTATTGTTGAGCAAATCAGCAAAGTGTTCTGAAATTAGCTCGTAGGGATCCGTAGTTGACATCAGTCTTTCGCAGCCTCTCTACACTATTTTTTATCCTTGGGAAACGAAGAAGCACATGTGCAAATTTACTACCAGAAGTACTCATACGCATTGCCCGCTTTCAGCAAAGTCCAAAATTAAGCTAAGCCCAAAAAAAGTTGTTTGAGTTGTTCGCGAAACCATATGACATGCCTTTCGAGCTTTCTCTGAAATTTTTCAGTTTTGAAATTTTACGCTCAATAAGTTCTGTCGCTTTTCTTGTCCTTAATGCTCAACGCGTCTTAGTACAAGCCAACTTTCCTTTCCTTCCAGCTCATTACTTCAACATTCCTTCGTTCAACGGATATTCGCCTACCACTGCAAGATGGGATGTCGCCCATCGACACCCCGATCTGCTGCAGGATTATCACCTGAACCATCCACTGAAGAGCAAGAGGACGATGAGAAATCGAAAAACCAGATGTATCGTCCTTCCATAGAAAGTCTGCAGCCTCCAGATACTCAGGACGATTTGAGTTCTGAAGGTATGAGGTAAGATCTACCATTCATAGCCTTCTATCATTACTTATACCATTAATCCTTTCTAACAGATTCCAGCGAACAAGTGAAAGAAAAAACTAAAGCTTACAAATTTGAAATATTTTTTATTTATTTATTCTAACACAGTCTTGGTGTTCCTTTAATAAACCGTCAAACTCCAGGTGATGGTAAGCTCAAACGATAGCCAATTAATCCAACGAAGACAGTAGTCAATGTTGTTCCCTATGAAAGGCCTAGTAGTTAACAAGAGATAGTCAGCTAACTGATCATAAGCACAGAATTATTGGGTCGTTTCATAAGTTCGTAGGTTTTTTATAAACTAACAAAATGACCGACTTTGTCAAAGATCAGTCAATAATGTATGTTCCATTGTTGCGCGCAACCGCCT